CTCTATAAAGTCTGTATGTGAAGGCAAACAATTTTAAAAACTATTCATATAAACAGATGTCAAAAAAGTTAGAATGTGTATATTCTGGTATATTCTGGTTCTTTTTTTTTTTTTTTTTGAGACGTAGTCTCGCTCTGTCTCCAGGCTGGAGTGTGGTGGTGTGATCTTGGCTCACTGCAACCTCTGCCTCCCAGGTTCAAGCCATTCTTCTGCCTCAGCCTCTCGAGTACCTGGGACTACAGGCGTGTGCCACCATGTCCAGCTAATTTTTGTAGTTTTAGTAGAGATGGGGTTTCACCATGTTGGCCTAGATCTCTAGACCTCGTGATCCACACGCCTTGGCCTTCCAAAGTGCTGGGATTACAGGTGTGAACCACCGTGCCGGCCCTGGTTATTCTTTTAACTGCTAAATTTACTAACTTTAGGTACCAGGTTAAAAACATTTGCACTTTTCATATGGAGAAAAACTGAGATGGGTTGTATCTTTAAGGACTTTTCTGTCTGTTGCTCTTTTTTTTTTTTTTTGGCCTTGTTTTCACTTCATCAAATCAACAAACATGTTGAGGATTTAATGTAGATAAAAATCTTATTTCCTCAACCTGTTGTACAAAATATTTTATATTCTCCACCAAGAATTTAACTTGATCTGTTAATCTGTTGATCATTTTTTCCCAGCTTTATTGAGGTATAATTGACAAATAAAAATTGTATATATTCAAGGTGTACAATGCGATGGTTTGATATACATGTACATCGTATAATGATTACCAAAATCAAATTAACACATCCATCACCACAAATAATTACCCTTTGTGTGGGAGTGGTAAGGACACAGAAGATGTACTCTCAGCAAATTTCAAGTACATAATACAGTATTATTAGCTATAGTCATTGTACTGTACTTTATATCCCCAGAACATACTCATCTTAGAACTGAAAGTTAGTGTTCTTTGTTCGGCATCCCCCATTTTCTCCATCCCCTGCTCCCTGACAACCATCTTTCATACTCTCTGCTTCTATGAGTTCTACTTTAGATTCCATATATAGTGAGATCATGCATTATTTGTCTCTCCGAATCTGGCTTATTTCACTTAGCTGTTTTCCAGGTTCATCTGTGTTGTTGCAAATGACAGGATTTCCTTTTTTATGACTGAATAATATTTTGTTGTATATATCACATTTTCTTTACCCATTTGTGGTCAAGCACTCCAATTGGCTCCATATCTTGGCTATTATGAATAATACTGCATTGAACATGGGAGTGCAGATATCTCTTAGAGATCTGAATTTTATTTACTTTTTTTTTTTTTTTTTTTTTTTTTTGAGACAGAGTCTCGCTCTGCCGCCCAGGCTGGAGTGCAGTGGCGTGATCTTGGCTCACTGCAAGCTCCGCCTCCCGGGTTCACGCCATTCTCCTGCCTCAGCCTCCTGAGTAGCTGGGACTACAGGCGCCCGCCACCTCGCCCGGCTAGTTTTTTTGTATTTTTTAGTAGAGACGGGGTTTCACCGTGTCAGCCAGGATGGTCTCGATCTCCTGACCTTGTGATCCGCCCATCTCGGCCTCCCAAAGTGCTGGGATTACAGGCTTGAGCCACCGCGCCCGGCCGAATTTTATTTACTTTGAACATATACTCAGGAATGGGATTGCTGGAACTTATGAAAATTACATTTTTGATTTTTTGAGGAATTTCCATACTGTTTTCCATAATGGCTGTACTAGTTTCTTTGTAATGATATTTTATTTTAGTCTGAATACAGAATTAATAACGGAAAAGCCTACTAAGTAAGGCTTGCAGATGCCTAAGTAGTGTTTATATTCTGTGTTCTTTATATTATTAAATTGTCACAGGTAGCCAGGTGCAGTGGCTTGTGCCTATAATCTCAGCAACTCAGGATGCTGAGCCAGGAGGATCACTTGAAGCCAGGACTTTAAGACCAGCTTGGGCAACATAGTGAGACCCCATCTCTAAAAAATAAAGGAGTAACTAGGTGTGGTGCACACCACACCTGTAGTTCCAGCTATTTGGGAGGCTGAGGCCAGCAGGAGGATCACTTGAGCCCAGGAGTTCGAGGTTGCAGTGAGTTATGATCATGCCACTGCACTGCAGCCTGGGCAACAGAGCAAGACCCTGTCTCAAAAAAATTCTCACAAGAACTCTGTGAGGTAGTTAATATTATTAGCCCTGTTTTACAGATGAAGAAACTGAGGTACAAAGAAATGTAATGACTTGCTGGCAGAATGGATTACACCTAGGCAATCTTGCCCCAGAGTCAGTGCTTTTAACTACTGTGCTAGATTAGCTGGATATAGATTCTCTCTGTAGTTTAGAATCTCTTTATATAGTTACTATAGTTAATTTGGCTGTCAGTTTGTGGCACGAAACAAATCTTTACCTTAGTGTGTTATTAGATCTAAAAGAATTTCTAATAGTCTAATGAGAATATATGCAAAATTCCCTGTATGTCTTTTAAGATATTATTTTTCTTAACTCATGTTAGGGCCTTACAGTCTTCCTTTGATATCCTCCTATTTTGTGGGAGATTGTTTTCAGGACACCCATGGATACCAAACTCCATGGATGCTCAAGTCCCTTATATAAAATAGCATAGTACTTGCATGTAACTTACACGTCTTCCCGTATGATTTAAATCATCTTTAGATTACTTATAATACATAATACAGTGAAAATCCTATGCATATAGTTGTTATATTGTTTTTTATTGTTATTTTTACTTTTTATTTTTTTCAATATTTTCTTTTCTTTCTTTCTTTTTTTTTTTTTTTTTTGAGAAGGAGTCTTGCTTTGTTGCCCGGGCTGGAGTGCAGTGGCATGATCTCGGCTCACTGCAACCTCCGCCTCCTGGGTTCAAGTGATTCTGCTGTCTCAGCCTCCCGAGTAGCTGGGACTGCAGGCATACACCACCACTCCCTGCTAATTTTTGTGTTTTTAGTAGAAACAGCGTTTCACCATGTTGGTCAGGCTGGTCTCGAACTCCTGACCTCAGGAAATCCACTCACCTCAGTGTCTGAAAGTACTGGGATTACAGGTGTGAGACACCATGCCCAGCCTTTTACAATCCACAGTTGGTTGAACCTGTGGTTTCTGTATCCCCACGGGGGCTGACTGTGTTTACTTTTTGCCATTAAAAAAATAATACCTAGCGTTAATGGTTTCTTTTGATTTGTGTCCTGCTTCTACTAAGGCTATTTTTAAGTTTGCTTTTTTTTTTTTCCCCAAAAAATGATACATGATAATGTTTGTAGAGATTAGCCACTAATGAATTTTATTGTAATCTTGTGTGGCATTTCTTATGATTTAAAAAAAAAATCTATAATATGTATTTAACCAAATCTGTCTTACCTGTGTTTTTTGTGTGGCTTAAGAGCCAAGCATCACTTTTACATTTTTAAATAGTTGGAAAAAATCAAAAGAAGAGTAGTATTTTGTGACATGTGAAAAACATATAATTTTGAATTTCAGTGTTTATAAAGTTTTATGAAAATATAACTACAGTCATTCATTTACATATTGTCTATGACTACTTTTGTGCTACAACTGCTGAGTTAAATAATTGCTACGGACCACATGGCCTGCAAAAGTTAAAACATTTGTTATCTGTCCTTTTATAGAAAAGTTGCCAATTCTTGCTCTAGATGATTTACTTGTGTATTGCAGTTAACTGTTCATTGTCTTATTTGCCTTCACTGGAATGGAAACTCCATAAAGGCAAGAAATCTTTGTTTTGTTCATTGATATATCCCAAGTACCAAAGAACAGTGTTTACCTCATAATAGCTACTCAGTAAATATTTGTATAGAGTAAAAAATGTATGACTTTATAAAAAATGAATATTTAATTTTCAAAATGATAATAGCTAATGTTTATTGAGTACCAACAACCATGTGAAATACAGATGTTTTATTATACCCATTTAACATCAAGGTTAAACTAACACATTAACAAAAGTAGGCCAGGCGTGGTGGCTCCTGCCTGTAATCCAGCACTTTGGGAGGCCGAGACGGGTGGATCATGAGGTCAGGAGTTCAAGACCAGCCTGGCCAAGATGGTTAAACCCTGTCTCTACTAAAAAATACAAAAATTAGCCAGTCGCGGTGGTGGGCACCTGTAATCCCAGCTACTTGGGAGGCTGAGGCAGGAGAATCGCTTGAACTTGGGAGGCAGAGTCTGCAGTGAGCCGAGACCATACCACTGCATTCTAGCCTGGGCGACAGAGCAAGACTCCATCTCAAAAAAAAAAAAAAAAAAAAAAAAAAAGAAAGAAAAGTAACTTACCCAGGGTTGCACAGTTAAATAATGGTAGAACCGGTATCCCATCCTAGAGAATCTGACTTTAGAACTGGTTCACTGTAAGTGACTCTTAAAATGCATAATCCATACTACCTTTTATAGAAGATAGTTAATTCTGTTATGTATAGTACGAATAATTTTGTTTTAGGAGCTTGTATGTCATCTGTTTTGATGCTGTGTCATCAGACTGTCATTCCAACTGATGACAGGCAATAAGCTTAGATTATGTTCCATTTTAGGAATACTAGATACTTTAGAAAGCAAGTCTAGGAGGTATGGTGTTAGTAGCTTTTCCCCTTTCATCTACTTGTTGTATTTAACCAAATCAAGTTTCCCTCTTTAAAATATCTGCCTGCCTGTATTTAGCATACATATAGAGTAATGAAATTTTAGGTTTAGAAGGGGCGTGGTTTAATCTCTTCTATTTAAAGAAACGATGATTTGTGCACGTATCGTTTTTCTGTATCACCAAGCCCTCCAGACAGCAAACCAACATTTTCCTGGCCTAGTGTACTTTTTAATATACTATTATAACTTGTTAATTTATGAATTTCCTTTATTTGTACTTTAACCAAGTGTAAGGGAAGTATCATGCTGTGTGCAAAAGTGAATAGGGATGTATTTGAATATTTTTTATTTGTGCATATTTGCACGTATTTATTACACTTTTCTTTTTAAATTTTTATTCAGCTTTCTAAAACCAATTTTTCCAACAACAACGATTTCCGTGCTCTTCTGCAGTCTTTGTATGCTACTTTCAAGGAGTTCAAAATGCATGAGCAGATTGAAAATGAATACATTATTGGTTTGCTTCAACAACGCAGCCAGACCATTTATAATGTACATTCTGACAATAAACTCTCTGAGATGCTTAGCCTCTTTGAAAAGGGACTGAAGAATGTTAAGGTAAGTTTGCAAAAATGGATATTTAACTGTCAAAACTTGTGCCATCTTCTGGTATGTCATTGGCAAAACTTGTCACTGTTTTATAGTAAATGATGTAATGTTAAAAAAAAATTATTGCCGGGCACGGTGGCTCACGCCTGTAATCCCAGCACTTTGGGAGGCCGAGGCGGGCGGATCACGAGGTCAGGAGATTGAGACCATCCTGGATCCTGGCTAACACGGTGAAGCCCCGTCTCTACTAAAAATGCAAAAAATTAGCTGGGCATGGTGGTGGCAGGTGCCTGTAGTCCCGGCTACTCGGGAGGCTGAGGCAGGAGAATGGCGTGAACCCGGGAGGCAGAGCTTGCAATGAGCCAAGATCGCGCCACTGTACTCCAGCCTGGGCGATAGAGCGAGACTCTGTCTCAAAAAAAAAAAAAAAAAAAATTATTTTGTCACTTGTTAAAGATGGCAAGGAAGACTATTTAAAAAGAACTACTGCAGTGGGGAGTTTGCAGTAGTGGAGAGAGAGATCAGGCCCAACATTGAATACAGTAAGGACAAGTAGGGATTTATATCCAAGTGGCAAAGTGGGAAGAGTGGGTGGAAAACTACTGAGGAAACATCAAGGCCAAGGGGATTCTTGCTAGACTAACTATAAAATTCTTGCTGAAGGCAGGAGGATAATAACATATTGAAGGATGAGTAGTTTGATCAGATGTAGAGAGTGATCAGATACTAAGACTGAGAGATTTTCACTAAACCAATTCAGCAGGATTTTTGCTAAAACTGGACTAAGCAGGACAAGAACAGAGTATAAGGTCAGGCCTAAGTTGAGAAGAGGGCCCAGAGGAGCCTGATTCAGGTTTGATGAGAGTCTTTATCAGTTACCTCTTTATTATTGTTTAATAAAATTTTATAATGAATACTACTTACCAAGTCTTAAAGCTGTTTTTCTAAGTTGAAGTTTTAATTAGAAAATTTTTACATTCTGTTAACATTTGCTGAATTATTAAAGGAAAGCTATCAATCCAGTTAATGGTGACCAAAGGTATAATTATTACTTAGAATGAATAAACACTTTAATTTTGTAAATTGTACTTGTTTTAGAATTGAATGCCAGCCAGGTGCAGTGTGCAGTGGCTCACACCTGTAGTCCCAGCACTTTGGGAGGCCGAGGCTAGTGGATCACTTGAGGTCAGGAGTTCTAGACCAGCCTGGACAACATAGTGAAAACCTTTCTCTCCTAAAAATATAAAAATTAGCCAGACATAGTGGCAGGCGCCTATAATCCCAGCTGAGGCAGGAGAATTGCTTGAACCTGGGAGGTGGAGGTTGCAGTGAGCCAAAGATGTTACTGGGTATAGTTTACGATAATGATGTAGAGAGACTTTCTTCTTAATTACATTTATATATTATAGGATTTTGAAATTTGATCTCAGTTATTTCCCTTCTGGCTTGGTGAAGCGTAAGCTTAAGTTATAGCTCTTTTAAGCCATCATATACTCTTCACCTAGAGATTTATGTTCTGGAAAGGCTGTTCTGCAGGTTAGGGAGGATGGATTAAAGATAAAAGACTAAAGGAGGAAGACCATTATTAAACATTATTCTAATAGTTTCTGGAAGAATACTCAGTAGCTACTTGGTGGGGAGGTGTGGGAGGTTTGGTAGGGGTAGGGTACTAGATAGTAATATTAATAGAAGGGAGATTTACTTTTTTATTGAATATTCTTTTATATTCTTCAAATTTTTTATCATATTATGTATTGCCACATGAATGCACCTTCAATAAGATCTGAACTATAGTTATGACTAGTGGAAATAAAGGGGAGGGGATCAGACTTGAGAGTTATGTAGGAAATAAAATTGATAGAATATAGTGATTATACTTAAAGGGAGGAGGAAAGAAAAGAAATAAAAATGAGGATTCAGCCTGACTTTCTAGAGCATATAGAAGAGGGTCAGGAAATAAAAAGATTCATTCTTGACATATTAGGTTTGAACTGCTTGTGTATCCAGATGGGCATTTATGAATAGGAGGTGATAAAGATGAATTTCATGGTCAGAAGAGTGACCCAGTATGAAAAATCAAATTTGATAGTTATTATTAGCATATAAGTAGGAATGGAAGCCATGTGGATACGCTTAGGGAAAATGTGTAAAGTCATAAGAGAATAAGACATTGGATTGAATATTGGGAAGCAGTTGAATAAATTAGTTCTGGAAAAAGAGACCAGAGAGGACTTAACAGAGATGAAATATTTTCATATTTTAAGTTTTCATAGGCTGGGCATGGTGGCTCATCCCTGTAATTCCAGCACTTTGGGAGGCTGAGGCGTGCAGATCACTTGAGGTCAGGAGTTCGAGACCAGCCTGGCCAACGTGATGAAACCCCATCTCTACTAAAAATACCAAAAAAATTAGCTGGGAGTTGTGATGTGCACCTGTAGTCCCAGCCACTCAGGAGGCTAGATGGGAGAATAGCTTGAACCTCAGCTTGCAGCAAGCTGAGATTGTGCCACCGCATTCCAGCCTGGGCGACAGAGCAAGACTTGTCCCAAAAAAAAAAAAAAAGTTTTCATTATTTTGTAAATTTCCTACATGCTTTGAGAGGGCTGATATAGAAGTGGGAAAATGTAATTCTAGGTTATGAGGAAGAACTTTATAGTTCCTTAGAATTGCCCAGAATTAGAATGATTTGCTTCAAGATACAGTGAGTACCTTGCCTTTAGAAGTGTTGATATTGATATATATGACCTTACATCAAGTAAAATTTTTTTTTTTTGAGACAGAGTCTTGCTGTGTCACCCATGCTGAGGTGCAGTGGTGTAATCTCGGCTCATGGCAACCTCCTTCTCTCAGGTTCAAGCAATTCTCCCTGCCTCAGCCTCCCGGATAGCTGGGATTACAGGTGCCCATCATTATACCCAGCTAATTTTTGTATTTTTAGTAGAGATGGGTTTCGCTGCATTGAGCAGGCTGGTCTTGAACTCCTGACATCAGGTGATCCACCTGCCTCTGCCTCCCAAAGTGTTGGGATTACAGGTGTGACCCACTGCGCCCAGCAGCATAATGTTAACAGGTACAGTTGACCATTGAACAACATGGGGATTAGGGTTGCCAACACCCTGTGCTGTTAAAAATCCATGTATAACTTTTGAATCTCTCAAAACTTATAGCCTGCTACTGTTGACTGGAAGCCTTACCAATAACATAAAACGATTAACAATTATTTCATATATTGTATGTAATATATATATACTGGATTCTTACAATAAGGTAAGCTAGAGAAAAGAAAATGTTACTAAGAACATCATATGGAAGAAAAAAATATATTCACTATTTATTAAGTGGAAGTGGATCATCATAAATGTCTTTATCCTCATTGTCCTCACATTGAGTAGGCTGAGGAGGAAGAAGAGGTGAGGTTGGTCTTGCTGTTGCAGGGGTGGGAGAGGCAGAAGAAAACTGGTATTTAAGTGAACCTGCACAGTTCAAACCTGTGTTGTTCAAGGGTCAACTATATTCTGAATTTTTTAGTGGAGGAGACACTAGATGACCATAAAGGGATTCCGTAATGATACAGTCCATTAGGCTTGGAGATACATTAAGACAACTGACATTTATAAATTATATAAATATATGATTAGAAATCAAATCAATAGAAGTTATGGGCAGATACTTGCTATTTTTAGGCTTTTTGTGATATTTTAAAAATATAGGGTTACATACATTACTAAAGTAATCCAAAGCTTACTGTTTTACGGCATCTTTTATGCTAAAAGTAGAGAAACCACTTTGCAATTTCTCTATTTTTTTTTTTCCGGAGGTTTTATGTCACATTTTAAACTGCCTTCCTGGGACCAGACATAATTAATGAAGCAAAACTTTTATAAAAATGTATTTTTTTTTGGTTTCCAGAATGAATATGAACAGTTAAATTATGCAAAACAACTGAAAGAGAGATTGGAGGCTTTTACAAGAGATTTTCTTCCTCACATGAAAGAGGAAGAGGAGGTAAGCATACTTTTTCCCTCTTGTGATTTAGATTTATAACATTCTTAAAATACTATTTTGCTTCAGAGGATCTTCAAAATAATGCATAGGAAGATGTGTCTGGTTGATGGAGAGAAGAACCCAGTTCTTTTTGGGAACTGAAGAAAACCCAAGGGGGAAAAAAAAAAACATTTGTTTTGTTTTCTCAGAAAGGTTGTTGCTTTTCATTGAATAGATGATTTAATTAATTTACTCAGGAAATAATTTTCTTTTTTGTAAATGGCTCTGTCTTAAATGTTAATAACTTATGCTACCCTAATGTCTTTTCAGAACCTTTAGAGGATTCTTTAAACTTCTAAATTTTTTTTTACATTTTCATGCTGTGTTTAAAGATTTTTTTAAGTTTTGGTGTTTTTTTTTTTTTTTTTTTTTTTTTTTCCAGTAGTGTACTTTAGTATTTAAATGGTGGTTTTAAATTTATTAGCCTTGACTGGACATGGTGGTTCACATCTATAATCCCAGCACTTTGGGAAGCTGAGGCAGGAGGGAGGATTGCTTGAGCTCATAAGTTCAAGACCAGCCTGGGAAAAATAGCGAGACCTCATCTCTGCTAAAAATTAAAAAAATCAGCTGGGCATGATGGCATGTGCCTGTCATCCCAGCTACTTGGGAGCTTGAGGTGAGAGGATTGCTTGAGCCCAAGAAGTTGAGACTGCAATGAGCCGTGATTGCACCGTGGTACTTCAGCCTGGGTAATAGAGCAAGACCATGTCTCCAAACAAACAAACAAAGACATTTATTAGTCTTAAGCCTACTATACATGTATTAGGGTATCATTGAATGAATGGGCAAAACGTTTTCCCTTTTTCTTCTGTCTCTAATTTGGGATGAATATCAGAGTTAGAAATAGATAAATGATTTTGTGAGGAACTGAATACCTGTTCAACTGTAAGTCAGTTATTGTAGAGATTCTCAACTATAGCTTCACCTTATAATCAAATTGATATTTAAACAAACAAAAGAAACCCCAACAGTATTTTAAGCCCTTTCCAGACAAATTACATCAGAGTTAAATCAGAGGACATGCATTGACTTGGGTATTTTTTCAGGGCCCCCCAACTCATTGTAATATACAGCCAGTGTTGAAACCACAGAATTAGTAGACTGACCAGTGTTTTTGAACTGTATGATACCCATCACAATTATCTGTGGAAGTGAAAACAAAACAAAAAAAGCCTTGTTTCCAACCTCTAAAGATTCTAATTCTGTAAATTGGAGGTTGGGACTAAGCATCTGTTTAGCAGAAGAAATCTCCATGGATAATTCTTATAGGAACCACTGTTGTAAAATAAGGATTTGAGGGAACATTTCTAAAATCCAGAAACAGTATTGAAAAGTTAAGTGTTTCAGTAGAGTTCTGACTTTTATGGTTCCAATACACTGGGAACCATTCTCATGTGAGGCAGAGGCCCAGTTTGGGTGGAGTTCGGTTACTCTAGTACCAGAAGGCAGTTAACTGACCTAAACATCTAACAGAATGATTAAGAGTGTTTGACAGATTCTATAAAGGGAAAGCCTTCTGGTCCTCATACTTTAAAATAGTTTGGGATTGATTTATTAACTGGAGAAACCATAACAAGAGGGATTTATTTTATTTATTTATTTTCTTTGAGATGGAGTTTTGCTCTTGTTGCCCAGGCTGGAGTGCAATGGCACAGTATCGGCTTGCCGCAACCTCTGCCTCCTGGGTTCAAGCGATTGTCCTGCCTCAACCTCTCGAGTAGCTGGGATTATAGGCATGCGCCACTATGCCCGGCTAATTTTGTATTTTTAGTAGAGACAGGGTTTCTCTATGTTGGTCAGGTTGGTCTTGAACTCCTGACCTCAGGGAACCTACCCGCCTTGGCTTCCCAAAGTGCTGGGATTACAGGCGTGAGCCACTGCGCCTGGCCAGGATCTTCTTGATGTACTTTTCTCTGCAATTTTTAGATAAACTAACTCAGTGGTAACAACTAAAATTTTTATCTTTTTGAGATATATGATCATAATAACGACATTTGAGCTGTTAATAATTTAAAAGGGTGTAGAGTGAAACAACACGAATTAAGCATCTTTCCTCATGAATATTTTGTTTAATTTAGGTTTTTCAGCCTATGTTAATGGAATATTTTACCTATGAAGAGCTTAAGGATATTAAAAAGAAAGTGATTGCACAACACTGCTCTCAGAAGGACACTGCAGAACTCCTTAGAGGTCTTAGCCTATGGAATCATGCTGAAGAGCGACAGAAATATTTTAAATATTCTGTGGATGAAAAGTCAGATAAAGGTGAGATTCATATATATAGATAAAGAACAATTTATTAGTTATAAGGTCATTGACATCTTACTGATATGAATTGTAGATTTTGGTTGAGGAATAATTTAAGTTAGGCCTGTACTGTGGTCAGTTAAAGGCGTTATTTTCATGTATCAATTTAATTGAAGACAATGGTTCTCATTTTAGAATTCAGTGTTGTGTATGATAATTTAACATATACTTGGGACGTATTCAGTGTAGTGTTTCTTGAATGAATTTATATATGAGTGAATCCAAATTATTGAAAACTACCAGTACAGAGCACTGGCCTGCTCAAAACTGAGCAGTCAAAATTGTTGAAAACTACCATTACACAGAGCACTTTTGTGGTATCATCCTGCTTCCTGAGCTTTATTGACCATAGTGGCTGCTTTTCTCTTTCCTTGTGTTTTTTCATTGGTTTTCAAAATCAGTTATGTTTATAATTTATTTTCATCCTTTCCTGTGTATCATTTTTTCAGCTTGTATCCAGTAATATTCAGAGGAACAAGTACTAGAGGCAGAGTTTTTCTGTGTTGTTACTCTGAAAATACAGATGAGAAAGGCAAATAAAGTTTATTTTTTAAAAAATAAACTACTTCTTCAGTAATTATTTATGTTCACTTCTTCAAGATTGGCGGCAGCAATGGGATTTCTGTTAAAATAGCTTGGAGTTTTTTGAAATTGGTCCTTTTATTTTTATTTAACAATGTAGGTGAAATGCATGTTGAAACAAATAATTTTACAAGTTAAGCAATAATTAATCCCATAAAGCTTGTATGCCTTACTCTGAAATATAGCTTGTGCTTTAGTTACCAAGCTAAGACTTGTTGTGTCTGGTTTAATTGTAATTATAACATGGGATTTAAAAGCATCACACTTACTACATTTTATTTTCCCACTCCTTCAAAGCAAATTGTAGCTGTATTATGTTTAAAATATTTGGCATTTTAAAAGTGGTAGTTTAAAGAATGTGATCATAGCGTTTCTATATTTAAGTTACTTTGTGAAACAAATCAGATATATAAAGTACTCAAATTCTTCATATGACTTTAATGATGAATCTCTTACATTTTTTATTGTAACACCTCATTTTCATTTTTATTTTGGAAATTATTACTGAAATAATAGGTTTATATATCCATAAGTACTTCCTGCAATAGTTGCTGACAAAAGATTCCTTATCAACGTGAAACAACATCAGAAATATTTGCATTTTGTCGTGTCACCTGCGACATAAATAATTGAAGTAGTTTAAAGCACCTCTAGGTTAAAGCAGTCAGATTTCGCAGACCTCTTGTATGAAATGTGAAAATCAAAGAGGGAATACAAGGAAGATTATTGACAGGAGTCATAATGCATAAATGGAAAAGGTCATGAGATTTGTGTGTGTCATTAAAAATGCCTTGGAGATCTCATAATCTGGCTGACTCTATACTTGTTGATTTAAAGCTGTATAACCTGTTTGGTTCCTTTTTCAAGTGATGCTACTTAATGCTACAAAGTGAGTATTGTTTTCTCTGTGATGCCTTTGTAAGAGGAAGTTAATTCTGTGTTCATTATTGTAGCTCCCACTGATGAAGTATGATTTGGGCCATGATAGTTTAACCCTACTTGTTCTTAACGAGTTTAACATCCCCATGTTACCTCTAATACATGTTATTTCATTTTCACATCTTGCAAGCAGGAAGGAGTTGACTTCAGGCACTGGATTTTGTTTATAGAAACGTGATTGTAATTTCTTATTGCATTTGCTCTTTAGCCTTTACTGGTAAAGTTTTTCTTTTTTATTTCAGAAGCTGAAGTGTCAGAACAATCCACAGGTATAACCCATCTTCCTCCTGAGGTAATGCTGTCAATTTTCAGCTATCTTAATCCTCAAGAGTTATGTCGATGCAGTCAAGTAAGCATGAAATGGTCTCAGCTGACAAAAGCTGGATCGCTTTGGAAACATCTGTACCCTGTTCATTGGGCCAGAGGTAGGTAAATGGGTTTTAAAAATATTTTCATATTTTTTTGTAAATGAATATTTATTTACATGAATCAGCAATGCCAGGGAGGGAAACTCTGAGAGATTCATCAAAAAGTAGATTTTATAGTTAGATGATGTGTTTTTGGTATATATATTTTTGGAAAACTAGCAATGCTGAAATTCATGGGTAAATTATAATGGTGTCTGCAATTAAAAAAATTAGGAAAATATATTTGTGGGAGGGGATGCAAAAAGATTGACAAAATGATAATTATTGAAGATAGGTGATAGATACATGGGGATTCATTATGCTAGTTCTTTCTGCTTTTGACTGTTTTTCAGAATTAAAAGTTAAAAATAAAATTAGTATGCTTTTGGCCGGGCGCAGTGGCTCAAGCCTGTAATCCCAGCACTTTGGGAGGCCGAGACGGGCGGATCACGAGGTCAGGAGATCGAGACCATCCTGGCTAACACAGTGAAACCCCGTCTCTACTAAAAAATACAGAAAACTAGCCGGGTGAGGTGGCGGGCGCCTGTAGTGCCAGCTACTCAGGAGGCTGAGGCAGGAGAATGGCGTAAATCCGGGAGGCGGAGCTTGCAGTGAGCCGAGATCCGGCCACTGCACTCCAGCCTGGGTGACAGAGCAAGACTCCGCCTCAAAAAAAAAAAAAAAAATTAGTATGCTTTCAAAACTGCTTTAAGTAATTATGTTTAATAATAATTATATGAATATTTTAAAAATACAGAATAAATTCTATAAAATTTAAGGGTGATATACCATTATGGCTCCATTTGGGTGATGGCTCAAAATAATTGTGAATCTGTTTCTGTCTTTGACCTATCTTTATTTGATTGGTAATGCCACATTCTCTGAATCACAGTTTCATATAATATCATTATAGTAAATTACTTTCACATGTGAACAGTTAAAGACAATTTTCTTTTCATCAGCATATAATGCAGTTATGGGTTAAATACAACTAATATAGCATACATTTTTTCTGTCACTGAATTAAACAATTTCTACTAGGTGAGTTTTTTTTTTTTTTTTTTTTTTTTAAAGGCAGAGTTTCGCTTGTGTTGCCCAGGCAAGAGTGCAATGGCACGATCTTGGGTCACTGCAACCTCTGACTCCCAGGTTCAAGCGATTCTCCTACCTCAGCCTTCCAAGTAGCTGGGATTACAGGCGTGTACCACCACACCTGGCTAATTCCGTATTTTTAGTAGAGATGGAGTTTCACCATGTTGATCAGGCTGGTCTCAAACTCCTGACCTCAAGTGATCCACCTGCGTCGGCCTCCCAAAGTGCTGTAATTGCAGACGTGAGCCACCGTATCCGGTCCGGGGGAATATTAGCTTCCAAATTCACATAATTTTAAAAATTGTTTTCTGTTTATGACTTTATGTCTGATTTAAATTGTGAGTCTAATTTAAAAGCAATTTTATTCATTACAATAACATATAGCACTTTTTTTTTTTTTTTTTTTGAGACAGAGTTTTACTCTCGCCTAGTGGAACTCAGTGGCACGATCTCGGGATCACTGCAACCTCCACCTCCCAGGTTCAAGCGATTCTCCTGCCTCAGCCTCCTGAGAGCTGCGATTACAGGCGCCCACCACCATGACCGGCAGATTTTTTTGTATTTTTACTAGAGACGGGGTTTCACCATGTTGGTCAGGCTGATCTTGAACTCCTGACCTCAGGTGATCTACTTTCTCAAGGTGATGGGATTATAGGCTTGAGCCACTGTGCCCAGCCACGTATAGCACTTTTAAAATAAGCTGTTAGATTTTTTTTTGAATGAAGCTATTTGGAATATTAGGTAGACTTATATCATCTAAATAATTAGAGTTGTTATGTGGGATAATTTTTTCTGTTAGTTGTAAGATAATGAAATATTTAGTGAAAAGTCAAGGCCAACATGGATGCAGAAAATATTTTCTCTGGCTATTTTTAATTCTTAAGAATTATGTCATGATTTGATATGAATGTCAAATGTGATAATGCTGTGCTAACTTTCATGAATTCACCTAAATCTCAAATATACTACTTTTTTCTGTTTTTAATATGTTTAAACAAAAAATTCCAATAAGCCCGGGCTCTACTAAAAAAATTTAAAAAATGCCTGGGCACGGTGGCTCACACCTGTAATCCCAGCACTTTGGGAGATTGAGGTGGGCAGATCACCTGAGGTCAGGAGTTCGAGACCAGCCTGGCCAACATGGCGAAACCCTGTCTCTTCTAAAAATACAAAAATTAGCCAGGCGTGGTAGCAGGCACCTGTAATCCCAGCAACTCAGGAGGCTGAGGCAGGGAGAATTGCTTGAACCCGGGAGGCAGAGGTTGCGGTGAGCTGAGATGTGCCATTGCACTCCAGCCTGGGCAACAGAGTGAGACTCTGTCTCAAAAAATTAACAAAAATAAAAAAATTAGCCAGACATGGTGGTACATGCCTGTAATCCCAGTTACTTGAGAGGCTGAGGTGGGAGGGAGGATCATTTGAACATGGGAAGTCAAGGCTCTAGTGAACCATGATCACACAATCTTGGTGACAGAGGGAAGACTCTGTCTTAAAAAAAAAAAAAAAAAGAACCAGTAGAAATCGGATTTTATTTATTTCTAGTATGTGCTTTGAGTGGTTCTCAATCAAATTGATTTTTCCCCCTTCCAGGGGATATTTAAAATATGTGGAAGCATTTTTGTTTGCTCCATCTTTGGGTATCATACTGGCATCTACTGGGTAGAGGCCAGGATTGTTGCTAAGCACCCTGTAATCCACAGGATAGCTCCCAAAAACAATTACCCAGCCCAAAATGTCAGTAGTGTCAAGGTTGAGAAACTTTAATTTAGATGTAAAGAGTTCAGTAAATTGGCTGGGCACGGTGGCTCATGCCTTTAATATCCTAGCACTTTAGCAGGCCAAGGCAGGCAGATTGCCTGAGCTCAGGAGTTCGAGACTACCCTGGGCAACAAGGTGAAACCCGGTGTCTACTAAAATACAAAAAAAAAAACAAAACCCAGGCGTGGAGGTGCATTCCTGTTATCCCAGCTACTTGGGAGGCTGAGGCACAAGAATCACTTGAGTCCAGACGGCAGAGGTTGCAGTGAGCCGAGACTGCGCCATTGCACTCCAGCCTGGGCAACAGAGTGAGACTCTGTCTCCAAAAAAATGAGTTCAGTAAATTGATTCTGCATAATCTGTCATTTCATGATCATATAATTTAGTTGCAGTACATTCTCCAGGATCTATGAATTTATAGTTTAGCTTTAGATTAATCTTTCCCTTTGCTTCTGTTCCCATCTACTTCTGACTACTGGTTGACTACAGAGTAGACAGTCCTGCTTCCTTTTATTAATTAGCTGTTACCATAATGAGGCTATTGTAGGAACCAGTGTGAAACAACAGCAGGGGAGAATGTTTGCTCGTTGTGATTTCTAAAATTTTATGCAAGACTTCATAATCATTAAGCTTATTTCTATAAAAGATAAAATTGAAAAACTTTATAGAGAGTAGGATACATAGCAGGTACATAGCAGACTCTATACATTTTTGTAGTTATTGTTCTGTTTCTATAGTTTGAAAGAGAAGGATTTACTTTGGGAAAATATGAACTATTGGTTAATTGATTATTATTGTTAATTGAAGCCACCTGTCATAGTTCTTTTCAGTATGTCTGAATGGAATCCTTTGCTGATTTCAGTGTAACTTTTTTTTAACCATAATTAAATATTTCTAAAAAATTGCCCATTGCCTGGGCAAAAACTGGAAGCATTCCTTTTGAAAACCGGCACAAGACAAGGATGCCCTCTCTCACCACTCCTATTCAACTTAGTGTTGGAAGTTCTGGCCAGGGCAATCAGGCAAGAGAAAGAAATAAAGGGTATTCAATTAGGAAAAGAGGAAGTCAGATTGTCTCTGTTTGCAGGTGACATGATTGTTTATTTAGAAAACCGCATCGTCTCAGCCCAAAATCTCCTTAAGCAGATAAGCAACTTCAGCAAAATCTCAGGATACGAAATCAATGTGCAGAAATCACAAGCATTCCTGTATACCAATAACAGACAAACTAGAGAACCAAATCATGAGTGAACTCTCATTCACAATTGCTACACAGAGAATAAAATACCTAGGAATAAAACTTAAAAGGGGATGTGAAGGACCTCTTCAAGGAGAACTACAAACCACTGCTCAACAAAATAAAAGAGGACACAAACGGAAGAACATTCCATGCCCATGGATAGGAAGAATCAATATTGTGAAAATGGCCATACTGTCCAAGGTAATTTGTAGATTCAGTGCCATTGCCATCAAGCTACCAATGGCTTTCTTCACAGAATTGGAAGAAACTACGTTAAAGTTCATGTGGAACCAAAAAAGAGCCTGCATTGCCAAGACAATCCTAAGCAAAAAGAACAAAGCTGGAGGCATCATGCTACCTGACTTCAAACTATACTACAAGGCTACAGTAACCAAAACAGCATGGTACTGGTACCAAAACAGAGATATAGACCAATGGAACAGAACAGAGGCCTCAGAAATGACACCACACATCTACAACCATCTGATCTTTGACAAACCTGAGAAAAACAAGAAATAGGGAAAGGATTCCCTATTTAATAAATGGTGCTGGGAAAACTGGCTAGCCATATGTAGAAAGCTGAAACTGGATCCCCCCTTCCTTACACCTTATGCAAAAATTAATTCAAGATGGATTAAAGATTTAGATGTTAGACCTAAAACCGTAAAAACCCTAGAAGAAAACCTAGGCAGTACCATTCAGGACATAGGCATGGGCAAGGACTTCATGTCTAAAACACCGAAAGCAATGGCAACAAAAGCCAAAATTGACAAATGGGATCTCATTAAACTAAAGAGCTTCTGCACAGCAAAAGAAACTACCATCAGAGTGAACAGGCAACCTACAGAATGGGAGAAAATTTTTGCCATCTACCCATCTGACAAAGGGCTAATATCCAGAATCTACAAAGAACTTAAACAAATGTACAAGAAAAAACCCCGTCAAAAAGTGGGCAAAGGATATGAACAGACAGTTCTCAAGAGAAGACATTTATGCAGCCAACAGACACATGAGAAAATGCTCATCATCACTGGTCATCAGAGAAATGCAAATCAAAACCACAAGGAGATACCATTTCACACCAGTTAGAATGGCAATCCTTAAAAAGTCAGGAAACAACAGATGCTGGAGAGGATGTGGAGAAATAGGAACGCTTTTACACTGTTGGTGGGAGTGTAAATTAGTTCAACCATTGTGGAAGACAGTATGGCGATTCCTCAAGGGTCTAGAACTAGAAATACCATTTGACCCAGCGATCCCATTACTGGGTATATACCCAAGGGATTATAAGTCATGCTACTATAAAGACACATGCACACATATGTTTATTGTGGCCCTATTCACAATAGCAAAGACTTGGAACCAATCCAAATGTCCGTCAGTGATATACTGAATTAATAAAATGTGGCACACATACACCATGGAATACTGTGCAGCCATAGAAAAGGATGAGTTCATATTCTTTGCAGGGACATGGATGAAGCTGGAAACCATCAGTCTTAGCAAATTATCACAAGGACAGGAAACCAAACGGTGCATGTTCTCACTCATAGGTGGGAATTGAACAAAGAGAACACTTGGACACAGGGCGGGGAACGTCACGCACTGGGTCCTGTCGGGGGGTGGGGGGCTGGGGGAGGGATAGCATTAAGAGAAATACGTAATGTAAATGATGAGTTGATGGGTGCAGCAAACTAGCATGGCACATATATACCTATGTAACAAACCTGCATGTTGTGCACATGTGCTGTAGAACTTAAAGTATTAAAAAAAAAAACTGCTTATTGCCTAGGGCTCAGATGTTGTCTCTATGTAGAGATTTTTATTGTAAATAGTTTAGTTTTCCATTATTGCAGGCAATCTGATATTATTTTGATCCTTTTACTTGTTTATTCATCGTGTAGGTGACTGGTATAGTGGTCCCGCAACTGAACTTGATACTGAACCTGATGAAGAATGGGTGAAAAATAGGAAAGATGAAAGTCGTGCTTTTCATGAGTGGGATGAAGATGCTGACATAGATGAATCTGGTAAGCTTGTTTGAAATTAAAATTATTACATAGTGTTTTAATAATTATATATTAAGTACTTATAATTAATAAGTACTAATAATTAGGTATTAGATTTATGTAGTTTGTATTTTCTAAAGAAACGTGTTTCTACGCCTACTACTTTTTAAAATTTGAAGGAATAATAATAACATTTTAAATTAATTGTTTGAAGTACTTTAAAGAGTGCATAGGATTATTTCTCTTGTTTTTATATTAAAATAAAAAACCAGAAAATGGTACCTTTTTTTCTTATGGAAATAATGTATGTTTATTATAGTGCTTTATAGTTTACAATGTGATTTTAGCGCCACTTCAGATGATCAGTTGTGCAGCATCTATTGAGTCATATGTGGCTTGAGGGAAATAGGATGAAACTGTTAAGTTGACTTACTCATTTGTAAATAGTCTTAATATTTGCCTAATAAGGTTATTGTAGAATTAAGAGGTAATATACATAAATATTCTTTGTAAATGGTAAGGATTACAAAAACTAATGTAGCCATTCATTAAACACTGTGGGAGAGTTCAAGGGTGGATAAGACTTAATCGCCACTCCAAAGAATTCACAAACGAGAGAGAATTTAGAAAACATAATTTTTTTTTTTAAATTTATTTTTTATTATTATTATACTTTAAGTTCTAGGGTACATGTGCATAATGTACAGGTTTGTTACATATGTATACTTGTGCCAAGAAAACATAATTTTTACTTTAAGGTACATGTTGGAAAAATGCTGTCATACTTGTGCAGAGAGATGCTGTTTGAAAGTGTGAGGAGGACGACAAATTCTGTCTTGGATATTCTAGATAATACTTACTAAAAGATGGTAAAATAGTAAAAAATGAACAGATGAGACATTCTTCTAGTTGGTAAAACTGAAACTATAGGAACTTTTTATAAAGTTACCTGCTTAAAGTAGTTTGATCTGGCAAAAGAACTAAATGTGGAAAAAAGAAACATGGAAAGTAACAGTGCAAGTATAAAGATTGTTATATCAGCAGCTAAAGTAGTTTATTTTTATGAAAAGCAGATGCGCTACATTTTGATAAAAAGATTCAAAATGTCATATATAAGGAAAAGGTCTATTCTAGTTATGATAGATTTGGTGATGTGCTTACCTGTGGCAGGCATTGTTTTAGGTATGAAGGATCTAATGGTGAACAAAATGGAAAAAAAAAGAAAAAACTGGCCCTTGTTGAGCTTAAAATTTAGAGACAGGAGGCAGACGATAAATACAGGTAAAATATGTTCCGTATTAGATGGTGACAAGTGTTGTGGAGAAAAATAAAACAAGGAAAACATGCCAAGAAGAATTTAAAATTGTAGTTTTAAATTGAGTGATTAGTTAAAGTCCTTTGAGAAATTTGAGTAAAGACCTGAAGGAAATGAGGTATTTGCTTAGATGTCAACTTAAGGAAGTCTCAGTTTATTCATTCTGGAAAATTAATTCATAATACTTGTGGTAAGAATTTTGAAGGTTCTAACAAATTCAGTATATTTGTCTCAATACTTGAAGATGGAGCAAAGACTGTCAATTTCCTTGATACCGAAAAGGAAAAGTTAAGGGTATAAAGATTGAGCCTTTTTAGATAATGTATCTGTTGATTATTAAAGACTAAACTGCTATTTACTTCAGTGCTTTTTTCAGTTTAGCTGCCTTGTCTTTACTTGTCCTAAGAAGTTATTGTTTTTCATAGAATGTTTAACTTTCTTAAAAAAGATTTCACAGTTCCAATTACCTTGATTTGATCATCACACATTGTATCAGGTATCAAAGTATCACATGTACCCCCAAAATATGTATAATTATTGTATATCAATAAAAAATTAAAAATTTAAAAATTTCATAATAAATAGTGTACCTTTAGATAGTGAGGGCCAAAGTAATTTTTATTTCCTTATATTTTATCTTCGTGTGTGTGTGTTTGTGTGTGTCTGTGTCTGGCTAAAGGACGAATTTAGGATACTATCTAAACAAGGAACCATGAGTAACAAATTCTTTTAGTTTATATCCTTTTGTCTGCTATACTTAGTTTTGTTTTAAATGAGACTTCCTTAACTTGTTCTGTTAAATCGTTTTATGTTTAAAGACATTCAAATTGGTCTTTAGGTAAGAATAATAACAATAGGATCCTGAGAAAGGCAATACAATACAGTTATTCATTCTTTTTAGTGTAGTTTGTTTTTTCCTTTTTTCGAATTGGAGTGTATAGTGTTTTCATGGTGGATGTTACAGTAGTACATTCTGTTGTAAACATCCAAGCTTTACAGAAGTTATTAAGTAAAACCAAAAGCCATGTCATTTTTAACTTCTTAGAAATTCTAAACTACCTTCTTTTGCTTGATTCATTATGATCAGGCTAATTTAGTTGAGTTTCAAATCTTTTCTAGCTTTGTGTCCTTTTTAGTTATGTGGAATCAATGATAGTACGTTTTACTATGGATCATTTTTCTTTTAATATCATATTTTTCTCTTGAAAACTTTTACTGTTCTTTTTAGTTTTCACATTTTTTTCCGAAACTTTCTCATTGCCTAAAAATGGGATTATTTACATAAGAAAGTATAAGGATAGCACAAAGTATTTCATATTTAACAATTTGGTGAGTCCTTGAGTAGCTTAATTATTATCAGTTTATCAAGTTCTTAGACTTTTTAATTCATGTTACAGAAGAGTCTCCGGAGGAATCGATTGCTATCAGCATTGCACAAATGGAAAAACGTTTACTCCATGGCTTAATTCATAACGTTCTACCATATGTTGGTACTTCTGTAAAAACCTTAGTATTAGCATACAGCTCTGCAGTTTCCAGCAAAATGGTATGTTTAAATTAACACTAGTTTGGGTATTAAGAAAAATCGCATGATAAGACTTTGGTTTGCTCATTCCTGAGTTTAATTAAGGGCAAACAAACCCCCAAAATGATTATTGAGTGCCTTCCTATGGGTAGGCATACACTGCTAGGTTACTTATTATTTCATTGCGGTTCTCACAACAATCTTTGTAGCATAATTATCATTACCTATATGTTATAGATGAGGAAACTGACTAGAAGAGGTTAAACATTTTATTCATTTTCACAGATGTTAAGTGATAAAGCCCAGTTTTATGTAATTTTTAAAATAATATGTAAGACATGGTAAGATGGGCAAATGAGATGAAAACACTGTTTTATGAAAGTAGATCTTATGACTTCCTACATCAGAATCTTGAGTGTTCCTTAAAAATGTAAATTTCTTGGTTTAGTCTCATAACTGCTAAAACAGATTCTTGGGTGGGTGCGGTGGCTCATGCCTGTAATCCTAGCACTTTGGGAGGCTGAGGTGGGCGGATCACAAGGTCAGGAGTTCAAGACCGGCCTGGCCAATATGGTGAAACCCTATCTCTACTAAAAATACAAAAATTAGCCGGGTGCAGTGGCGCACACCTGTAGTCTCAGCTACTCAGGAGGCTGAGGCAGAAGAATCGCTTGAACCTGGAAGGCGGAGGTTGCAGTGAGCCGAGATCCTGCCACTGCCCTCCAGCCTGGGTGACAGAGTAAGACTCTGTCTCAAAAAAACAAACAAAAAAAACACAAAAAGATTGTCAGGGATTTGAGCCCAGAATTTTTTTTTTGTACTCTATTCAAGTGTTTTTTTTTTTTTTTTATATTCACGAAAGTTTGTGAACTAGATTATGTTTACTAATAGTCATCTGTTACTTAGCTAACTGAAGTTCTGCAGATCTTCACAGTGACAATTTTTTCCCTCTTAGGTTAGGCAGATTTTAGAGCTTTGTCCTAACCTGGAGCATCTGGATCTTACCCAGACTGACATTTCAGATTCTGCATTTGACAGGTTAGTTATTTTAAACAATTTATAATGAAAAACTATTTTGTAAGGTTTCATTTATATAATTGCAATTTAATCATACTATTATTTTTTACTATCAAATATCAGTCATGTCTGACTATAATTTGATAGCACCCTCCAGTTCTTCACCTCTTGTTCATGGGTCCCAGCTGATCCAAAAATTCCATCTGTATCATCTTACAATCTGTATAGTCCTATATTTTGTCTAGGCCCTTGAGCCCTGCTGTGCAACCATGTAGATTGGTATTATATGTTTTTAAGAAGTTTTAGTTTTAGTTGGGCTCTAAGTGCCATTTGGCAAAGCTCCCTGTTAGATTCTTCACAGTTACTCTGAAATAGTATAACTTTCTTCAAGCCACCTCCTTCCCAGAGTATATCTCTTTGACCACCAATTCTCTGTATTCTTGCTCACTCCTTCTTTCCCACCCAACCATTTATATCAGCACCTTTTTTCCTGCTGCAGAGGAAGAGGTATACTCTTCTCTGGTTAAAGCTAACCCTCTATCTTCCTAGAGCTTGTTTCTTATGGATCTTCCTCATTAACCATTAGTTATTATTCTCTTTCTTTCATGTGTTTGCACCCTTACTTCTGCTGATTACTTTTAGGGTAATAAACTTAAGTCTTCCCATCCTTACCCCTCTCACATCCTACCTTTCTGTTAGGTTAGGAATACTCTGACTTCCTAATTACTCTCATTGAGTTTTTGTATCCCTAGTGTTAAGAATAGTACGTTAACAATAGATATTCAGTAAATACTTAAGTGATTATATTAGATGTAAAATCTTCTAGTTTTAATCACATACATGTAGTCAAATGCTTTTGAAAAATTTAATAATATTCATTAATAGTCTTGTCTTTTATTTATAGTTGGTCTTGGCTTGGTTGCTGCCAGAGTCTTCGGCATCTTGATCTGTCTGGTTGTGAGAAAATCACAGATGTGGCCCTAGAGAAGATTTCCAGAGCTCTTGGAATCCTGACATCTCATCAAAGTGGCTTTTTGAAAACATCTACAAGCAAAATTACTTCAACTACATGGAAAAATAAAGACATTACCATGCAGTCCACCAAGCAGTATGCCTGTTTGCACGATTTAACTAACAAGGGCATTGGAGAAGAAATAGATAATGAACACCCCTGGACTAAGCCTGTTTCTTCTGAGAATTTCACTTCTCCTTATGTGTGGATGTTAGATGCTGAAGATTTGGCTGATATTGAAGATACTGTGGAATGGAAACATAGAAATGTTGAAAGTCTTTGTGTAATGGAAACAGCATCCAACTTTAGTTGTTCCACATCTGGTTGTTATAGTAAGGACATTGTTGGACTAAGGACTAGTGTCTGTTGGCAGCAGCATTGTGCTTCTCCAGCTTTTGCATATTGTGGTCACTCATTTTGTTGTACAGGAACAGCTTTAAGAACTATGTCAACACTCCCAGAATCTTCTGCAATGTGTAGAAAAGCATCAAGGACTAGATTGCCTAGGGGAAAAGACTTAATTTACTTTGGGAGTGAAAAATCTGATCAAGAGACTGGACGTGTACTTCTGTTTCTCAGTTTGTCTGGATGTTATCAGATCACAGACCATGGTCTCAGGTGAGTTGTCAATTCCAGAATATTAAGAAGTAGATGTGTTCTCATTTCCAAATGGAATATAAAAATTTTGATCTAAGTCATTCTTTTCAGTTGATTTACTTAAGCAAAAAGAGTTAACCAAGATCTGCTCTACTTCAGTGTTGGACCAATGTAACTTCTGTTATTAGTATGAAGTTTCATTTCTGTCAGTTCAAATCCATTGTGATATATGGAAGAACATAAATTTGAAAGTTTAATAAATAGTAAATGGCTACATCACATATTTTAAGGTACTTTAGTGGATGAATAAGGTACAATTTTTTCTCAAGAACATGTAACAAGAAAATGTGCATATTCTGCTTCTGTGTATTATTTCTGTATGTTACAGTTTTATATTGAGGGTTTTGGAAAATGTAGGCTGTCTATGGAAGTCATTTAGTCCAACTACATGGCTGTTAAGTGTTTACCAAAGCCAAAGCTGAGCTACAGTTTCATATGTAGCTAGAGTTTAGAAATTTTGCTCTTTGATCATGATCAACTTACCTTCTGTTGCTTTTTTAAGTCATAAGGAGGACGTGTGGAAGAAGTTCTGCAGTTTCTTTTCTGTGTTTTTTTTTTGTGAGCATAATCTTTAGCAGATTAAACCGACTTTTTTTGTTTGTTTGTTTTTTAACCTCCTAGAGGAAAGAAGGGCTGGAGGTGACACATATATCAGCCCAGACAGGTAGCTCTTTTCAGCAGCTAGGTTCTATATGTTTTATAGGACCCACTTCAAGATTTGTTAGGTTATGAGTTACTCTTATGCACTGTTGGAGAAAATACCATGGTTCACTGACTTGGGAGCATGGCAGACTTGATGTAGATTGATCTTGTTTTTTTCTGTATAACTGGCTTTGTGTACAATACTTAACCTTATGCTTTGAGGCTTATGTAAGAGGAATACTTATAAGGCATCTAACAATGATACAGAATAGATTTTCAGTAAGTGGAAGCTGATGTGCAGTAAGCGATTATCTTTGACATGAGCCTTTGGAAATTGGATACATGTTTTTCTTTGATAATGGGATGTCAAATATTTTATAATGAAAAATTCTGCCAGCATAAAACTTAATACCCCCTACTATTATAAAATATACTTAACATGAAATTATTATAAAAGTTTTTCATAAGTCATATACAGTAACCAAAAGTGTTTTCCCTGAGGTAACTGGTATAACTGCTTTGACTGCTGTGAATCATTTCATTAATTTTCAGTTTTCTCAAATCCAAGTGCATATGTTGTAATTTTAAAAAATAAAGATAACTTTATTCTGAGTTTTATTCTTTAAAATAATTTTATTACAAGTATGTATTCCTAACTGTAATATGATTTTGTTTTTGAATGCAACTTGATTTTAGAAAGTAAAAGCAATTTTTAGTTCAATTTAAAACCTAGTAATTCATTTTTCATTGTCGTTTTTTCACTACCATCATACCTTATTAAAATTTATTTATAACTCTGTTCAGTTTGCATTTTCAATATGACCAGTTTTTGTGTTTTTTTTCAAAGAATGAAGTAATACATGTGACCTCTCAGAGCTGCAATGACTTCTGACCATGTGGCAGTTTTCTTATCTTTTAGTTTTTTAGGATGTTTTTAAAAATAACCCTGAACTTATTAAAATTTTATATAATTAATTGATTTCAAGGTTTTTTTTTTTGCTTTCAAAGTATTTAGAAACTCTTCTAGTATAAGGTTTTGGAAAACACTAGAAGGGGGCACACTTTTTAAAAGCAGGTGACCCCAGGGCAAACTTGTATCCTCACTGAACTACTGCAGCTGATGCTTTCTTGAAAGCAGCACCTCCTGGCTGGAGGCCAACCAACACACTAAAGAAAACTACACACAAGGACCCTCACAGAGTCCACTTCACTCCTGTCCTATCTCTACTGGAGCAAGTGCTGGTACCCATGGCTGAGAGACCTGAAGACAGATCACATCACAGGACTCATCACAAACACTCCCCAATACCAGCCTGGAGTCCAGCAGCTCTGCTGGGTGGCTAGACCCAGAAAAGAAATAACAATTATGGCAGTTTGGCTCTCAGGAAGCCCCATCCCTAGGGGAAGTGGGAAGAGCACCACATCAAGGGAGCACCCTTGTGGGACAAAAGAATGTGAATAATAGCCCTTGAGCTAGATCTTCCCTCTGACATAGTCTCCCCCAATGAGAAGGAACCAGAAAAACAATTCTGGTAATATGACAAAACAAGGTTGTTTAACACCCCCAAAGGAACACACTAGCTCACCAGCAGTGGATCCAAATGAAGAAGAAATCTCTGAATTGCCACAAAGGGGAAATCAGAAGGTCAATTACTAAGCTACTCAAAGAGGCACCAGAGAAAAGTGAATACAAACTTAAAGAAATAAAAAAAAAAGTTATAGGATATGGATGGAAAAATCTCCAGAGAAATTTATAGCATAAATGAAAAACAATCTCAACGTCTGGAAATGAAGGACACACTTAGAGAAATGCAAAATGCACTGGAAAGTCTCAACAATAGAATTGAACAAACGAAAGAACTTCAGAGGTTGAAGAGAAGGTTTTCAAATTAACCCAACCTGACAAAGAAAAAAGAATTAAAAAAAAAAAATGAGTGAAGCCTCCAAGAAGTTTGGGATTATGTTAAATGACCAAACCTAAGAATAATTTGAGTTCCCAAGGAAGAAGAGAATTCTAAAAGTTTGGAAAACATATTTGAGGGAATAATCAAGGAAAACTTCTCTGGCCTTCCTAGAGATCTGAACATCCAAATAGAAGAAGCCACCTTTTAATTTTATCCTGTTTACGTAAATACTGCTTTTATTCTTCTAGGTGTGCCATTAGGTTTTATTTTTTATTGAAATGTAATTAACATACCATAACATTTACTGCTTTTTGAAAGTATACAATTAATTCAGTGATTTTTTAGTATATTTACAGGGTTGTTCAACCATCCACCACAGACTAATTCAAAACATTTTCATCATCCCAAAAAGAACCCCATACTTAGTAGTAGTCACTTCTCACTCCCCCTTTCCCCAGCCTCTGGTAACCATGAATCGACTTTGTGTCTATATGGATTTACCTATTCTAGAATGATAATATTAATGGAATCATTCAATATGTGGCCTTTAGTATCTGGCTTTTTAAAATTAGGTTTATGTGCTCAAGGTTTATGCTTATTATACTATATGTCAGTACTTTGTGGCTGCAGATTATTTAATTGTATGGATATACCACATTTATCCATTTATTAATGGACATTTGAGTTGTTTCCACTTTCTAAGTGTTATGAATAATGCTACTATGAACATTCATGTGCAAGTTTTTATGTAAACATATGGTTTTAATTCTCTTGGGTATATACCTAGGACAGGAATTGCTGGGTCATATGTTAGGTGTATCTATGCTTTTTTTTTTTTAGAAACTGCCCAACTGCTCATTAGGTTTTAAGCTTCAGTAATTTTCTTGATAATTTTTACTTACTAATACAATTGGGTAGGAGAATGAACATTACAACTCCAGGGTTCAGTACTTCCTCTAAGAGTTAAGTTATCATGATGTTCTTGTAAAGAACAGTTTTATAGATTTCTTTATTGAATGTCATTAGGAAAAATGTTGAACATTTTCTTAAATGTATTTCTGCCTAAGGATGAGGTTAGTTATCAGTGTTTTACAGAAATTCTTACATTTTCTCATTACCATATTGAAAAGTATGTAAAATAGTGGTTCAGTGGACCATAGGAATACAAACATTTTTGTAGATGAATATCTTTTAACTGTCAAATTATTTTTCTTACAGGGTTTTGACTCTGGGAGGAGGGCTGCCTTATTTGGAGCACCTTAATCTCTCTGGTTGTCTTACTATAACTGGTGCAGGCCTGCAGGATTTGGTTTCAGCATGTCCTTCTCTGAATGATGAATACTTTTACTACTGTGACAACATTAACGGTAATGCCTTTTAACAATGCAATAATTTTGAAGGAATTAATTTAAACTTTTTTAGCAGTTCTAATAATTTTTCCATTTAGTTTTCTAGATTGCTAATTACCAGACTGCCTTACTTTCAGATTTAGTTAAATTTGATAAAATTTTAAAATTACATTTTCATTAATATCTTGAAAGGTAAGTTTTTCTTGCAGATGTATATTCTAAATATCCATTGTGTCAGACTTTTGAGGCATGTAATAGTGTAATCAAAAATGGTAACTTAATGGAAGTACTAAAATTCTTGTTTAAAAGTTTTGGATATTCCTCTAGAGTTCTGTAGCGCTCATTAAGAATTTAGAACTATTTATGTTCTAGATATACTGCTTTCTTAGGGATGATAGACTCATTTTTCTTGTAAGATGGCTTTATCAAATGTAGAAAAATGAGGACTTTAGTAATGTGGACTTCTAGAGTTTCTGGATCTGATGTCAACTCTTACTGAAGATTGAAGGGAGTTGTAGTATTGAGAAGAGGCTGAGATGCTTTAGACATGATTAGGATTCCTATAGTGTTTTGGAAATTGATTCCTGAACCTACTTTCAAAAATCACAAGAAATATTTCTTGATTTTGTTCTTTTAAACATATTCTACCCTACAGTGGGCTTATTGAACATGCTTTTTCAAAGTATGTTCAATGCCTTTTTGCACATTTGATAGTCACTGATAGAGATTGAATTTCCCAGAAGCATAAGAAGCTGCTTTTCTGTTATTAATAAGCAAATCAACCTCCTGTATTTATAACTGGAGAAAATTTTAAATGGCTCAGACTACTGTGTACCTGTCTTTTTATACTACGCCCTATTGTCTTTGAGTGCCCAATTCACCTTAAGTGACAGGAAAATCAACAAAATTTTTCTCAGGCAGAACAATTGACAGGAGTCAAGAAGACCAGAGGGAGTAATGACATACCAGAAAGTGGAGAAATGAACAAATCTGCTATTTCTCGAGATTAGATTTTCCTTAAAATATGTAAGAGGAAACTGAAGATTGCAGCTCTCTTATTTCTGGAATCACATTGTTATACAGGAGATGACCTCCCATGTTCTTGATATATCAACACTAAGTTGGACATTTCTTGTTTTCTGTTGCCTTCTGTGTATAATCAAGGGATGGCCAAAGGGAATGTCATCGTAGTTGGTTAAAGTGAATGTCACTGTAGTTGCAACATGCTAAGCCTATGAAAACAGTGTGATTGATGCAGTGAAGCTGTTACTTTTGTGGATGCTCTGGATTTGAGACAGGAGTTTTGTTTTGTTAACATAAAGTTATTTCATTGTAGGTTTAGTGCTATACTTTCTAAGGCTTATAGGACATATTATCAAGAGTAATTAATAAGCAATTTTTTTTAATCAGAAAATTTTATTTGTATGTTGCACTTGAATTTTTCATACTGATTTCAGCATAGGTTATGCTTCGGAATAAATCTCACTATCAAATTCATCATTTATTTTTGGGTACATAGATGTTACTGGGTAGAGGGAGGGGACTGGGTTTCAGATTGTTTTTATGCTTACTTGTTTTATGTTTATATGTTTTTAAACTTTGAAAAAATTTAGATGATGGGATAAAATGAAATACTTAAAATCTTTTGCACTTTGTCCTTATGCATTTTCTCTAAACTCGTTTTGAATATGTAGTTTCAGAGGAGCTACTATATTCCTATTGTTGAATGTAAAATTTTTTTGGATAAATGACTGATTTTTTAAAATAAATGAATTGTAATGAAGATATCTGACTGAAAGATTTGAAAGGAAATTGCAGTGCTTGTATAATCCAATATTAACTCTCCTTTTATAGCTTATTGAAGCATGATTTGGGGGAATGGAAAGCCTTTAAAATTTACAGATGACTTGTTATATAACTTGTGTCTGAGTTCCACATAGGTTGTTGTTAAAGCAATGCTCTCTTATAGTCTTTTCCTTAAAAGGGTATGTGGACAACCTAGAAAGTGTTAGAATGTAGTTGTGTTGTATCCAGTTTTGCAAGATGACACTTGTTCCAGTATCTTTCAAAACAGCTCAGCTTGTATAGTAGATATCTAGTGAATGCTCAGGGTCCTCCTTGTTACTATTTTTATTATTTCTGAAAGTGGTCAGTGTGTTTTAATACGTGGTATTAGAACAATGGAGAAATGTATTTAGGTGACAAATTACATTTCCAATATTTGAAAGTAACATTTAACTAAAAATACATTTTTTAAAAGAAAACATGTATAGTTAACTATCAGATTACTAAATATAAAAGAAGTAAATACTGATAAACATTAGTCATTAAGTAATACATAATAAGTAAAGCAGAATGCACTAGCAGAGATTTTGGAGATGATAAGTTAGTTATCATGTATTCAAGCAGTAACTACCTTGAGCAAGACACTGTACATAAAGTGTCTTGATATAAAATGCAAATCTAGATTCTTCTGAATGATTCTTTATGACTTAAATTTAAAGATTTGAATATAAAAGTCTTCTTAGCCATAACATTAAAATTTTTTTGTTAACATTTAAGAAGTGTTAAATGAAATAGCATAGTTGTAGAGCTGTGAAGAAGGTATGAACAATGACACAAAATAAACTTTTTTACTGATTTGCATTTCAATGTGTGTATAATTTATAAATTAAGATAGATTAGCTCATAGTTTTAGAGGTGACCCAGTCTCAGATGATGTGCTCTTTTATGTTTCTAATTTAAGTTAAAGAGGAATTAAAGGTAAGTGAAGGTAAGTGCAGATATACAGCATAAGTAATATACTTAGAACCCAGTAAAAACAAGTTATTCAGTAATAAAAATCTGGAGAAATAATAGCTAACCTGATACTTCCTATCATCTGATACTTAAAAATGCTTCTTATAAGATTATTCCTTACCATGCATTTAAATATTTTAATGATTATTATATTTTTCTATTTTCTTTATTATTCTTTAATGTAATTTAGGCTTTATATATCTTAACCATTTGGGTTCTCTATCCTACACTGAGATGGAAGTTTGCTGGTGATAAGTCAAATATTTAAAGGGAACTACCTTGTGAATTGTCTTTGTCTATTAAAGCATAGCTGTCTACCTGGCAATCCATCATATCTTCGTCATATTTCTTTCTAATGCTCCCTCACCTTTTCTGTTGTCCATTTATTCTGTTGTCCATTTATTCATTTTTCTGAACAGTCCTTTTGTGTTACTTTAAGGATTTTATTGTTGATGTTGCTTATACTTTCCATGTTTTGGAAGGTGCTAGTCTCCTGTTTCTATAATGTGATACTGAATTTAAAACAGTGCTTGTCTTCATTTTTGTTTTGACTCAGGCCTTCAGCAAATCCTTTAATGGATGCTGTCACTTTTATGATTATTGGGATCAAATACCAGTAACTACTCTGTTATTAACCTTATCAAAGGATTGTAGTTTTGAGTCATTTAATATTACAGTTACTGATTAAGTTCCTATAGGCTTCTTTAAGCAGATTCTGCTTTCAAATTTGAAAACCATATATTAATTCTCTCTCTTTACTCTGTACACTTAGAATCTCACTGAAACTCAATTCTAGTGAACTTAGAATGTATTCAGAGTTCTTGCTTATATTCATGTAAAATGTGCCTACTCAGTGAGTGGGCACATTTTACATGAATATAAGCAAGAACTTTGTTTTGTGATAAATAAGGAGATGCTGACAGTAGGTTTGTGCTTTTTACTTAATACAGGGTAAGAACTTTTATTCCTACATTTTTCTTCCCCCATTATCTCTGCAATCATCCCTTAGACTTCAAGAGCAAAATGACCCAGGTAGCTAGGGTAGAAACTGAGCATGTGGACCCTACATCTTTTGAGGAGGATGGTGAAAAACTGTGTCGTGTCAGGTTAGATCTGAATCTCTAGGAGAATAGCTTTTTTGATCTGTTTGCTCCTTTGAGTCTCCCTTTTACTTTATCCTTTGAAAATCAGTTGCATACTTCACTTCCATTGCTTGCAGGCATGGCGTATGATTTTTCTCAGGCTACTGTTGAAATTTAGCATAATATTTCTCCTTTATCTTTCTGTCCTTTAAAAAAAAAATAGGACTATAGTAAGTCCTCAGTGTTGGTGATACATTTTTGGAAACTGACTTTAAAGAAAACAACATACAGGAAGTCCTCAAATAGTGTCATTTCATTATAATGATGCAAACAAAACAGCTAGCTTTGTTATACGTTATTTTGCTTAGAGTCGCAGTTTCTAAGAAACTATCGATGTTAAATGAGAACTTAACGTTATGGACATTTTGAAATATTTGAGGAGTTGCAGTTTGGAAAAATTGTATGAGAGTCTTCATGTCTCTTCTTCTTTAAAAAAATTTAGAATGGAATTTTAATCTGATAAAATGATAATCAGATCCATTTTGGCAAAACCCAGTGAATCTGGCATTTCATGATGGACTATGGGTCAGAGCAGGGGAATGGCAGTGAGGCAGGGCTTGTGTCTTGAGGTGGGGCACTAGGTGATTGGTGGACAAAACAGTGAGCAGTGTAAGGGGTGAGGAAAGACAAGCTAAGAAGGGGAAAGATGGGGATTGGGTGGTGCACAGTAGGTAAAGCTGGCATTATATTCTAAGGAAAAACTTGGTTAAAGATTGGCAGTGGGAGAAGAATTTCAGATCATAGGGTTCCTTCTCAGGGCATTTTTAATAAGTATTCAATACATACTAAAACATTTTATCTTGATTGTGATTAAGATGATTAACATTGTATCTTATTATAAGAGAAAATAATTTTAACACAATGCCGCTTTTTGAATTTTAAATATTTGACATATTTCACTTTTCATTTAAAGACTAGAACAGATTGTTATTTTGATTAAATAAAAATTGGCTTTAGTAATTCAACTTTATATATAAAATAATTTTAAACTTCCTGTTACGGAAAAATTTAACGTCGAATAATGTAACGAACCCTCATGTACCATCAACTTCAGCAGTTCACCTGTGGCCAGTCTCTTTTCATCTATACCATTGCTCATTCCCATATCTGCCCCCCCCCATTAAGCTAATCACAGGTGTCATATCAACGTAAAAATTTAATATGACCGAAAGCATAAGCTGTGGTAGTTCCACATATGTGCGTAATGTTTATTAGTTTCTTTCCTAAGACTGTATGTCTTAAGAAATTTGCCCTTTGTATTTTGTATGTGCCATTTGGGGAATATAAGGAAAAGTTAAATTTCTGGAAATTAATGTGTTCTGTGTGTTTAGTTGGAAGTAATTATTATGGTGGTATTAGCCTAGTTGCTTTTTTTTTTTTTTTTTTCAATTGAGTGCTGTTTTAGAAAACAAAAATAAATTTAAAATGCGTTTTTGAGTTAATCCTAGATATCACACCAGAGTGCTGTGATTTTTCAGTTACAATCCATTTGATATATTCTGTAGTAAAATTATATTTCATGTACAGTTTTCATTTTGTATTGTTCCTTATATCACAATTTGCAAGTATTTTGGTTGTTCTTGTTGATATGTAAAGAACTAGTTAACTATTCCTTATTTGTTCATGGTGCAGACATACTGAAAGACTTCAATATAGTTGAAACAATCTTTCCCACATGTGCCTGCTTTTATGAAAATATTCATTCAGAGTACTTGACATTTGAATATGTGCTATGAAACTTCTTCTTTGATACTTTCTAATTCTCAGCTATGTTTCCTAATGGATCTTGTATCTAGTGCCTAGGTAGCATAGTGTGACTGGGATAAAATGTCAGTTATTCCACAAATGTTTTATTATTCTTTGTAAGTGAATGATAATTTTTACTATGTCTTAGATAAAGTTTAATTGATCACTCATTATATATTTAACTTTGGATATACATTTAACCCTGCCATATATAGATATTTTTGGCTGTAAATACTAAATAAAAATATGGCAAATATATTAAGTCTTTGTCCATATAGTTTATTTTGCTTTAAAATTTGAATGTAATGTTTATTGTAATTGCTCAATAGTGAATTCTTTAGCTGATCAATTAGTTAGGGCTGTTTTTTTGCCTTTATTACATTTCTAGGGAGGATGTTCAGATTATAAGAATCTTTTTATAAGTTAGCTTTGCAGTCTTCTGTGGATTGTCTCCTTTCCATTTTGGATTTTTATATTGTAAAGTTGTTGCTAAAAATTATTTTTTTCCCTTCCACTTACCTTTTGGACCATGAAGGATATATTAATTAAAGTCAAGCTGCTGTTGATTTTTGTGTCTGAATAATTTCTTAAACACTCATCATGAGATTTACTTCTGTGATATAAGTACTGCTAGTAAAACCAATGAATATTTTGGCTCCTTCATAAGCAAAATTTTTTTTATGTGATCTCTAAGAAATTCCTCCTTTCACATTTTTCTGTTTTCATACAGGTCCTCATGCTGATACCGCCAGTGGATGCCAGAATTTGCAGTGTGGTTTTCGAGCCTGCTGCCGCTCTGGCGAATGACCCTTGACTTCTGACCTTTGTCTACTTCATTTAGCTGAGCAGGCTTTCTTTCATGCACTTTACTCATAGCACATTTCTTGTGTTAACCATCCCTTTTTGAGCGTGACTTATTTTGGCCCCATTTCTTACAACCTCAGAAATCTTAATTTACCAGTGAATTGTAATGTTGTTTCTCTTGCAAATTATACTTTTGTTTTAGAAACGGATTAGGTCTTTTCAAAAGGGTGAGAACAGTCTTATCAGTTTTCTTTTAAATGAAATGCTTTAAAGAATGTTGGTAATGCCATGTCATTTAAAGTATTTCATAGATTATTTTGAGTTTTAAAGTCCATAAAGGTGATTGGTTCTCTTTATACATTGACACTGTATCAAGCTTTGCAGATCTTTTCCGACATACATGTCTGAAGAGTTATTTTCAAAGACAGCACATTTTTGGAAACTAATCTGTTTTCTGTAATATTTCCTTTATTTCAACAATTCTCAGAAGACCAATTCAAACAAACCCACATTTAAGATTCTTTAGGATTATAGAAAAAATTGGCTTCTGGGTGTTAGCTCAGTGAGCTAGGAAAGCACCAATCCATATTTGTTTCCATTAAGGATACCTTGTTCTCACCACTGTCCCTATATCGTCAAATTTGGGAGAGATTTTTTAAACTACCACAATCATTTGAAGAAATGTATAAATAAAATCTACTTTGAGGACTTTACCAAGTAATACTGTTGTGTTGTGATTTTTATTATAAATCTCAATCCAGGTTTACTTTAGTATAAAATAGGACTAAATACTTTGTCTTTGGAGCTCCCATGAACTCATTACCCTGACAAATAGTTTTAGACAGATACTGAATTTTGTTGAGCTGAATTTTCTTTTTGAAATTAGTCAGTAGTCAAAATTTGAATCTGTAAGTTTATCTACTTTGCTTTGTTAAAACATCATGAGAGTGGAGGCCTGCCACCCAGAAAGGCACATACTAGTGCCTTTTAGTACAATTTTATGTCATGCAGAAGAAAATGGCTATGTTCCTCCTATTGATATAGATGTAGGCATACGTCATTTTATTGCGCTTTGCTTTATTGCACTTGGCAGATAATGCATTTTTTACAAATGGAAGGTTTATGGCAACTCTGTGTTGAGCCTGTCTATTGGTGCCATGTTTCTGATAAAACTTGTCCCTTCACGTCTCGTATATTTTGATAATTCTTGGAGTATTTCATAGTTTTTCACTGTTATTAAATCTGTTATGGTGATCTTTGGCCAGTGATTGTTGTTACTATTGTAATTGCTTTGGAATGCCATGAACTGTGCCCTACTAAGACAGATAACTTAACTGATAAATATTATATATGTTCTGATTGCTCCACCGACCAGTGGTTCCTATCTCTCTCCTCCTCAGACCTCCCTCTTCCTAGAGACACAACAATATTGAAATTAGGCCCCAGCTAATAACCTTGCAGTGGCCTTTAAGTATTGAAGTGAAAGGAAGAGTCATGTCTCTCACTTTAAATCAAAAGCTAGAATTGATTAGACTTAGTGAGCAAGGCATGTTGAAAACTTAGGCCCAAATCTACACTTCTTGTGCCATACAGCGAAGTTGTGAATGCAACAGGAAAGTTCGTGAAGGAAATTAAAAGTGCTACTCCAGTGAACACCCAATGATAAGAAAGTGAAACAGCTTTTTTACTGATATGGAGAAAGTTTTAGTGGTCGGGATAGATGAAACTAGCCATAAAATTCCCTTAAGCCAAAGCCTAATTTAGAGTAAGACCCTAACTCTCTTCAATTCTATGAAGGGTGAGAGATGTGAGGAAGCTTCAGAAAAGGCTGAAACTAGCAGAGGTTGATTCATGAGGTTTAAGGAAAGAAATCTTCTCTATAACATAAAAATACAAGGTGAAGTACCAAGTGCTAATATAGAAGCTGCAACAAGTTATTCAGAAGATCTAGCTAAGGTCATTGATTTGAAAGTGGCTACACTAAATATCAGATTTTCAGTGTGTGGACAAAACAACCTTCTATTGGAAGAAGATGCCACCTAAATCTTTCATAGCTAGAGAGGAGAAATCAATACCTGGCTGAAAAGGGCAGGTGGACTCATGTTAGAGATTGGTGCAGCTAGTGACTTTGTTGAGAATGCTCATTTGCCATTCTGAAAAACCTAAGGCCCTTAATTAATGCTAAATCTACTCTGTGCTCTATAAATGGAACAACAAAGCCAGTATGACAGTACATCTGTGTACAACATGGTTTGCTGAATATTTTAGGCCCACTGTTGAGACCTGCTCAGAAAATTTCTTTCAAAACGTTAACTGCTTATTGACAAGGCTCTTGGTCACCCAAGAGCTCTGATGGAGATGTACAAGGAGATTAATGTTTATATGCCTATTAACACAACATCTATTCTGCAGCTCCATGCAGAATTACTCCATGGATCAAGGAATAATTTTGATTTTCAAGTCTTATTAAGAAATACATTTGGTAAGGCTATAGTTGCTATAGATAGTGATTCCTCTGATGGATCAGGACAAAGTGAATTGAAAATATTCTGGAAAGGATTCAATTAGAAGGATTCACCATTCTAGATGCCATTAAGAATATTCGTGATTCATTGGAGGAGGTCAGAATATCAACATTAACAAGAGTTTGGATGAAGTTGATTCCAGCTCTCAATGGATGTCTTTGTAGGGTTCCAGACTTTAGTGGAGGAAGTCACTGCAGATGTGGCAAAAATAGTAAGAGAACCAGAATTAGAAATAGAACCTGAAGATGTGATTGAATTGCTGCAATCTCATGATAAAACTTGAATGGATATAGAGTTGTTTCTTACGGATAAGCAAAGAACATTTGTTTCTTGGTCAGGCGCAGTGGCTCACTCTTGTAATCCCAGCACTTTGGGAGGCTGAGGCAGGAAGATTGCTTGTGTCCAGGAGCTCAAGACCAGCCTAGACAACATAGTGAGACCCTGTCTCTACAAAAAATAAAAAATTAGCTGGGTGTGGTGGTGTGTACCTGTAGTCCCAGCTACTTGAGAGACTGAAGTGGGAGGATTGCTTGAGCCTAGGAGGTTGAGGCTGCAGTGAGCCATAATCACACGACTGCACTCTGCCTGGATGACAGAGCAAGTACCCTGTCTCAAAAAAGTTTTTTGAGATGGCCTCTACTCCTGGTGAAGATGCTGTGAACATTGTTCAACTGACAACAAAGGATTTAGAATGTTACATAAACTTAATTGATAAAGCAGTAAGGGAGTTTGAGAAGATTGACTCCAGTTTTGAAAGACATTCTGTGGGTAAGATGCTGTCAGCATTTCATGCTACAGAGAAATCTTTCATGAAAGGAAGAGTCAGTCAGAGCAACAAACTTCATTGTCTTATTTTAAGAAATTCTCACAGCCACCCCAACCATCGGCAACATCGAGGCAAGACCCTCCATCAGCAAAAAATTACAACTTACTGAAGGCTCAGATGGTCATTAGCACTTTTGAATAGTGAAGTATTTTTAAATTAAGGTATGTACATCTTTGTGATAATGCTTTTGCACACTGAATACACTATAATATAGTGTAAACATAACTTTGCACTGGGAAACCAAAAAAATTGTTGTGACTCATTTTATTGCAATATTCACTTTATTGCAGTGCTCTGGAACCAAGTGCACAGTATCTCCGAGGTATACCTGTACATGCAAACCTGTGGAAGATGAAGTAATCTTGCAGTCTTAGATATTTATTTGTTTTATTTGGAGAGAGGAGGAGGAGTAGCAATAAAAACGGGTAAACATTCAGTTCAGGCGAAGTGTCTTAGTGTTGTCTAAAGATAAAGGAAGAATCATTTGATGGAATATAAATAACTCATTACTGCTTTTTATTTCTACTAACATTTGAATTAAACACGGCAAAGGAGGAGGAATTCTGAAGGCTCTAATGATGCTCTCTTTAAAGCTTTACCTTGCTTTGAGGTAAAACTTGGTAAGTTTCTCTCACTTTCATTCCATTGCTGTTAATATTTGCCCAAGCAAAAGGTAAGTAAGTACAAACGAATAGAGGCAGGAAGCTCATAATGTACTCTACTGTGGGTAGTCTCAATTGAATTTCAGGGTCAAGTAGCAGAGACGAGGCAGACTACTAAATAAAACACTTTGCACAGTTTGAAAACATGATAATTTTATTATTTGCCAATAATATGTTCTTCTGATGTGATGCATATAATTTAAAATTTTCTCATATCCTGTGTAGTTTTTACATGATACAAAAAGTACAGTGAAAAAAATTACCTGTTGCGTATAAGAGAGGCAACATAGATCCAAACAGACAAAACATTTTTGGGGTATGGGTGTATGTATACAGCTAAAGCAAATTCAACATTAGGAACATCAATATTATGTACTCCAGTACTATACACAGCGTCAATTAAAGGCTTCACTTCAGAATAAGGCATGTGAAGGGGAAATCCAGAGAACTGAAGGGAAAAAACATTTGTAGTCATTAGTGAAGTTTGAAGATTTAATACATTGTTTCCTATGTAAATGTATGCCATTAATATAATAAGTCTTCTGGATCTCAGTTATTTGCTTGTGTTTTTCTACTCAGCTATTTATTAGCAATACAGAAAATGGAGAGTTGCTTAATACCCATTTTGTTTTCCTTGCTAGCATATAGGTGTTAGTCACCCCATCAGTATTCCCTCTTTTTGGAAGTACCTAGTACGCATAGTAACCATTCTAATTCCAGAAACATAGGTTAAACTAACAAATACATTT